ATATATATATATGTGTGTATGTATGTGGCTTCCACATCTCCACAAAAACTGCAACTAAAGTGAAATTTAAAGTGCCTTCAAAAATGCAAAAGTCTGCCAGTCTGGATGTGATGTAGAGAGTGGCTTTGTTTGTGCTCCCCCTCGTCTGTAGCTGTGTTCTGTACATGTTTAGTTCATATCACCCCATCAGCTGTACTACAGAGCCCGTGTGTTTGAGCTGACGCTGAACTAAACAACTCTTTTCTCTCCCGCTGCCCCATAAGTGCCTATCACTGGTAAGTGTGTGTGAAGAAACGCCTCTGTCCTGTTCAGAGTGCACAACTCTGGGATTGTGTACGCATTTGTGAGGTTTTGCGTGTGTGTGTGTGTGTGTCGAGTCCTTTGAGCTTAGCGTGTACTAAGGTTTGTCCGAATCCCTCAGTGTGCGTTCCAATAAATCTTTCTCGACCCCTTTCTCAGATGAGAACCACACGGCGGCGGCGGCGGCGGCGGCGGCCGAGAACAGCAGACTGCTGGACATCCCGCGCTATCACTGCGAGGGCACCGAGTCGCCCTATCAGACCGGACAGCTCCATCCTGCCATACGGGTGGCAAAAAAACAGCTAAGACCAGCCTGACCTGCTAAAAAAGTGGCCAAAACCACTTTAAAACCAGCTTGGGAGACCAGCCAAAGCAGTCAATCAGCTTAGGCTGGTTTTAGCAGTTTTTTCAGTAGGGAGTTGCTAAGCTTTGCTATGGCAGTAGACAGCTTAAATACACCTTATAATTGAATAAGTCTTATTGTATAAAAGTTTTCACCCCCTCAATGAAAGTCTATGGGATTTTAGGTGGTTTTGATAGTCTGGTTTACGAAAACCGTAAGCCGGATCAGTTAGAAAAGATATAGCAACCCGAGTCAGACCAGTCTGAAGGTCTGACCCGAGTTTGGTGGTTGTAGCTTTAAAAGTCTAGAAGGAGATACACTTTAAAATTGGGTCGAAGAAGAAAAAGATTAAGTTTAAATAGGATTTCAGTAAGTTGGCTTTTTCAAGCCAACTTAATAATACTTCTACTGAAAACTTCTGTCATGTATTCAAATATGTTTGTAATTACACATTTAAGATATATTAAATTGAGATGTAATATTAAATAACACGCTACAGTTAAAAATGATAATCAAGTACTTTGTGCTTTGTTGTGTTAGTCAACACATCAAAATAAGTGCATGAGAAAAGATTATTAAAACATAATGATATTTAAAAGTACTGTAGTATAAAGTGAAACTTACCAATTTGACATTATTACAAAGAAACAGTCATGAAAGCGTCTCTCTTTAAGTGCACTTATGTTTTATTAATACCATAATGTGTCCAACAACTGTTTTTAAAAATAGACTTTTAAGATTTGAAAAGCATTAGATACAATTAAACACTTCTGTTTCACAAGTGACCCCTAATCAGTTTGTATTTTGAACCACCATAGATGACATGCCGCTCCACAGCCAATCACGTATTCACTTAGAATTCCCTGATCTGCATATCAGTGTTAAAACCAGTGCATTCACAGCGTTCTCTGCTGCCGTGTGAACTCCAGTATACTACAGTGATTCTAACAGGCCTGGAGAATACACTGATGGCTTTACTCCTGTGTTTTACAGAGTCCCAGAGGTTTTACATTCTGTTTAGCTCAACATCGTATCCTTCACACTCTGTTCTTTAGGCTGCGCTCTGAGGCAGCGTCTTCTCTTTGAACTGTTTCCTACTTTTATTTTTAGAGCAGACTCATTTTTGTGTTCTGTATAATGTATCCGTGCCAGGTAATAAATAATATTAGTGTTCAGCACTGGAATGATACTGTGGTTGTCTGCCAATGTTTGGAGAAACATATCCGACAGTCATTTTCAACCCATTCTGTTATGCTTTGGCAGCGAGAGAAAGATATCACACAGCAGACTGATGGCAGTTTGTGAAACGTCCAGGCATTTTAATGTTGTGGTCAGAAGACTTTCATGCTATTTGGTTTAGAGGTACATTTGTAATAGGAGCTAGTCGTAACAGGTGCATCAGTGGAAAAAACACCATTTATTTTGGTGACCTTGGTTTTCTGGGTGCTACTTTGGCTTCTTAGTAGAAAAAACAAAACAAAATAATTTGTCATATCTTGAATTTGAGCTTGCATCTCATCTCTTTGCAATGGAGCATGTGCTCTAACTGCTAAGCCATGGCTCTGACCTAACACTTATACGAGGGAATGCTAACTTAAAAAGATTTGCTTTTTGTCTCCAGGGGCCACAGAGGAGCCGGAAGTGATTCCAGACCCGGCCAAACAGACCGACCAAGTGGTGAAAATTGCCGGTATCAGCGCTGCCGTGCTGGTCTTCATTCTCCTGGTGCTCGTGGCCATCCTGCTGGTGAAGAAAAGGTAAGGCTCTGTGAATACAGTTACAGTGCGTTTGTGTTGGCTCTTGAGATGCCCACGAGCACACCAACATCCTCCTTCCACTGCCATCTCATCACATCACCAGCACCCAGGGAACAGCCGCAGGGGCCCCATCTCCACCGCTGTCAGCAACTACACGCCACACAGGGGCCGCTCGTTTCCCCAGCCTCTGCCTTCCAGCGTAACAAGACCAAATCTCAATTAAAGCCATTAAAAGAGAATCAGATGCGCACACAGTAAACCCGCACATGTACACTTACAGTATGAGGAGCACCAATAGAAATCTGCCGTCTTACATACTTTATTTAGCCCATTTACAAACCTGTTTATTCATGTGAACGTTCCAAAAAATGTATACCACTCTAAAGTTTGGGGTTCCCTTTCAGTCGGTCACTCCCGACGTCACGTCGGATGACGGACGAATTGGGATCTCGCTTAGAGAGACCAATCTACTTCGAGTGTAAACTAAACGAGCCAATGCACATTGGCATGCGATTATTGCATCCAGCTGCTGCTGATCACAGCGTGAGTATAAGTAGGCAGCAGATGCAGCGCATATTCAGCTTTTCGCTTCGGAGCCGAGCGGTTCTTTCGTTCTGCTCCTGACCTTCTGCGGAGAGAGTAGACTACAGTCAAGCACGCTCTTCGTGGGCTCTCGTGCTGGTGGTACGGCGCTTCAGCGGCGGTGGTTTTCCCGTGTCGAGTGGGTTGCACACAACAGGCTGCACTACCCCTGTGTGTGTTGCAGACGGCCATCTCCCCTGTGCGCTTCAGCACACTAAAAGAGCAATTTCCATACTAAAAGAGCTTCACGGGTGGAACGTCTTTTTGAAGACGCGTCTTTTTAAAGATGTCTTACCACCCGTGTGTTTCTGGGTGCGGTCGTTACCTGGAGCCGGGTGATGGTCACGATCGCTGCCTCACGTGCCTGGGCATCTAGCACGCTGAGGTGGCGTTTGTGGATGTGATGCGCAGCTGAATTTTCAGCATCATTACTCCAGTCTTCAGTGTCACATGATCTTCAGAAATCATTCTAATATGCTGATTTGCTGCTCAAGAAACATTTCTGATTATTATCAATGTTGAAAACAGTTGTGCCGCAGTTGTGATAAACTGTATTTTTCAGGATTCTGTGATGAATAGAAAGTTAAAAAGAACAGCATTTATTTGAAATCATTTTTTACATTATAAATATCTTTGCTGTCACTTTTTATCGATGTAATGCATCCTCCATTTTCAGAAAAAAATTATAATAATTCTGACCCCAAACTTTTGATCATGACGCTGGAACTGTTCGATTTCCAGAGTATTTACATAATCATACATTGAAAAGTCTGAATGCACTGCATTTGGATAACAATGTGGAATCTGTAAATGTCACGTTGCACAGCATATCCAGCAACTTTATTTTCCATGTCTATCTAAAAACGTTATTAACAAATATCATGTGTACAATTTTTTTTATTACGTATTTGAATAACAGCTGACAGCATGAAATATGATGTTCTAGACACTGAATTAATTCACTTTATCCACCTTTTTCTTCAACGCGGAAGTAAGCCTATGGGTGAGACTTCCGGTTCATTAGCCGCTAACAACGTGCAGTAAACGGTAAAACTGTTTGCACTACAAACCAGTGTGTTTATAATTAAGATAATACATTAAAATAATATGATAAGACACACCAACTTTCAATATCAAGAAGCAAAACGAACTGTTTTGTTCAGCTAAAAATAGCTGGACGCAGATGAGACCGGAAGCTAGACCCATAGAATTTACAAATGGCCGCGCCCATTTTTACACAGGAAAAAGGTGGATAGTTTGTTTGTTTTTTCTCAAAACATTCGTAAACAAAGCCTGAGATATGGCACATATATGTGTGGGCAGATTATTAGTAATAATAGTCAGCTATGTCAGTAGGTTGTTGTTTGATTCTGAAGTGTGTGTTTTCGAGAGCGTTTGCAGCAGCAGCCAAACACTGACTCGCACATGAATCAGCATTAGTCTAGTGGAAAAGTTGCATGTGTGTGTCTCAGTGTAGAGGAAGCTGATGTGTGTCTGAGGTGAACATTCGTATCGGTGAGATGAAGGAAAAGAACAGAGGGTGTGAGGAAGCTGAGCGTTTGTTTCTCCGAGACTGCCCGAGTCTAAAGCAAGACAGTGTGTTCTTGCTGCTTCTGCTTCTGTCTAAGGGCTCCATCATGTGGCGTTTTCTTGAACAGCAGGCTGTTTAAAACACAAATCAATGCTCATAACAGACCAGACTGGAAACATCAGCTGGCATCAAGCTCTCTTTTATAATGTAATGAGGCCTATAGGTTTTTTTTTCCCGTAATATCTCTTGAATGGGCTTCAGATCCCAGTAAAGCACCCTGACCTAACAGCACTAGCACTGATTCTTCATCCTCCTCCATTCTTCCGTTCTGTGCAGTAGTACTAAGAATGTGCGTTTTTCATTCGTTCTCCTAAATAAGAGATACAACATGTTAAACTGACACTTGTTGCTGCGGATACAGCATCACGCAAAGGCAAAAGCTTCTGGCTGGTGATACTCTTGTAGAAATGCCATATTTGTCTCCCGTGATTGTTTTATTACCAGTATACCAGAAGTGAGACAAAGTGAGCAGTATGTGAATGGAAATCATTTCCAACAAATCTGTTTTTGTTTTACTAACCACACTTTATTTAGGTGCACCGTTCAACACATTTAAACACATTTGACAGAAGTGGGACCTTTAGTTTGTGGCGGCTTCATTTTTGCGTGTGTTACCATCCTATTAAAATGAATTAATATGTGCATATGCTGAACCTCGACACGCAGCGATAAATACAAATGGCTCTTTTCCAACTGAGCGATGGATAATCAATGTTTTCAGGTCAAACTGAAGATACTGCATCTTTAAAACAGTGGTCACTGACGCTGCTTATTTTGCAGGAAGTCAGCAGCTTGACTTGCAGCATTTTTTTGTGCTCCACGTATATGTGATTATTTTTTTCTTTTCTTTAAAAATAGCTTTTTTAATCATCTGTGCTTCACGGTTTATTGCAGTGATTTATCAAGTCAGAGCGCCTGCGATGCATGATGAAATCGAGCAGCCAGAGATTTTGCGTTTTGTTTCTTTTTTCCTCCTTCTGACTGACGACTGTCAAGTAAATCGGATTGCACGCAAATGTACAAGACATGCATGTTTCAATCAACGCCACCAATGAGGGCGGCAGAGATCAGGCTAAAAGCTTTGTAAAAGCTAGGTATCTGTTGCTTATGTTGGCACGGTTGATTCCCACATTGCTCTCACCAATATCTCTTCATCTGTTTGTGCTGTTTCTCATTCGCTCGCCAGGAGGAGCTACTATTCGTACTCATATTACCTGTAAGTAACAGAGACGCTCAGACCAAAGCAAAAGCAAAACGGTGACTTAACATGCAGGGCTCTCTGCTCTCTGTCTATGGTTAGTCTTTTAAAGATGCAGTATCCTTTTTTCAAGCGAAAACACAAATCGCTTTGACCAATCACGTTCCTTTGCATTGTAGTAGGACATGCTCGGCGACGGTCGCATCCAAGCGGTGTTATTTGAAAAAAGAATGCTGCACTTGTGTCTGTTATTCGTCTGGTTTGGTTTTGGGTGTGTGCATGTGTGTGTGTGTGTGTGTGTGGAATAGTTACTCACCGTGTCTCCATCCGCCTCTCATCCTCACACACTCATCCGTTCATTCATTTGGTGAAGAGGGTGTTTTTCATGTGTCCCCGGTTGGCCTTTAGTCTGCAGCTCAATCTAGCAGGCGACTGGAGCGCTGCTTTGATGGCTTTCTAAGAGTTCCTGTGACAGCTCTACAAAACCTCAGTCAGATATCTAAAGATTCCTGCTTTTATCTATTCTTGTCAAAAACAGCATCTTGTAACAAATAGAGATTGCATAAATCATCTTTCACAGCTCCACATTGCATTTCATCACATGACACATGTCACTTTTTTTAAAAGTAAAACCATGATAAGTGAATATATTTTTCTGTTCAGATAAATCGGTTCTATATTTGCTTTCTTAAATACACAAACAACCTAACAAACTGACACTGACATGGAAAATCTCTAAGTCTCGATCAGTATTTAGTCTTGTTTTACAAATGTCTAATCGTCCTTAAAACAAGACTGATTTATTTTAAGCAAGAAGCAAAAGTGCATAAGATAAGACAAATATTTTTTGCTATTTGTGAGCCTTGAGCACAAAAGCAGTCTTAAGTCGCTGGGGTATATTTGTAGCAATAGCCAACAATACATTGTATGGGTCAAACTTATACATTTTTCTTTTATGCCAAAAATCATTAGGATATTAAGTAAAGATCATACGGTGACGCATTGCTGCCACACACATATTATTTTTTCCACTCAATTATGTCGTAATAACGAGATGTTATGTCGTTTTAACGACATCTTTTCTCGTTAAAACGACATCTTTTCTCGTAATAACGAAAAGATGTCGTTAAAACGAGAAAATATGTCGTTTTAACGAGAAAACATCTCGTTATTATGAGAAAAGTTGTCGTTTTAACGAGAAAATATGTCGTTAAACCGAGAAAAGATGTAATTAAAACGAGAAAAGATGTCGTTTTAACGAGAAAACATCTCGTTATTACGAGAAAAGATGTCGTTTTCAAATATTGTCCTATCCTAACAAACCATACATCAATGGAAAGCTTATTTATTCAGCTTTCAGATGATGTATAAATCTCAATTTTGAAAAATTGACACTTATGACTGGTTTTGTGTTCCAGGGTCACATTTTTTTTCTTTAACTAAAAAGAACAGACAGCCTTGATCTACTTTAAAATAATAAAAAATAAAAAATAAATAAAAAAATTTGACATGAGTTGACATGAATCGTAGGTTAATTGCACTGTAACAAATTTCTATCACATTTTGTCATGCAGCTCTTTGTTCATGAAAACAAGACAAAAATGCTGACTAAGAACATTATTTTGTGCAGTTTTATTGCTGTTTATTGTTGTTAGTCAAGAATACAACAGCTCTTTTTACTAATTTGTCTATGCAAAAAAATATATATATACAGTATGTTTTATCAAATTTTGAATGACAATTTCAAGCATAAAAGGACATGCACTGACACAAAAAAAAAATCCCTCATGAATGCCAAAAGTAATTTTGTAACAGTAAAGTAGTAACTTTTTTTGATAGTAAAACGTGTTCAAATAGAAACAGGCATGGTTTTATTTCTCTGAATCACATCCACTAATTTACAAGTATTTCCTACAAGTTTCCTCAAAGTTGTCCTTTACCATGGAACTAAAGCTTTCCTATCGGATCATCCCTTCTTCTCTCTCCTGTCTGTTGTTTATTCCTACATGTGGGTGCTTTGGGGTGTGCTGAAGGGTGCAGTGGTGCTGTTTTCTGGAGTAGTAGATCTGTAATGATTCTGTCTTTAATTGGCTTATCAGGAAGCTCGCCAAGAAGCGCAAGGACGCCATCGGAAACACCCGTCAGGAGATGACGCACATGGTCAACTCCATGGATCGCAGTTATGCAGACCAGAGCACTCTGCACGCCGAGGAGCCCGTGTCCGTCACCTTCATGGACTCGCACAGCTTCAGCAACCGCTGTGAGTACTCAAGCACAGCTTACATCTACATGGAACATTGTAGAATCATATCGAGCTTGTCTGAGGATTTTGAAACTTCCACTTGATATGTGCAGGAAAGCATCGTAAAAACCGAAACACACCCAAAGCCTTAAGCGGCCCACGTAAAGAAAGTGTGTGTCATGACAAGATTTTCTTTTTGCTCTGTATTACCAGTAGTTTAGATTATTCACCCCTCTCTTGCCCAGCCTAGTTCAAGCGCATTTAATGTGATTAGTGCGCCTCTGCAATTCACAAGGCATCCAGGTTAGTTATTAGTAATGACCTGATAATGTGCAAAACGCACCCACGTTCAGCAGTGCTGCTGTTGAATCGTGAGTAAAATCTCAAGTGCAGACGCAGCAGCTCTGATTTCAGTTTCGGAACATCCTCAGCTCTTGAGTTTTTGTTTATGATAACTCTGCGTGTTTCTCTGCAGTGCCTAATGACCCTCTCGTGCCGACAGCTGTATTAGGTGAGGATTGGGTGTATGGTGTGCCCGTGTCTGTGGAGTTTCATCAGAGCAATTCAGTTCAATCTGTGCCGTGGCTCAAAGACAACATGAAATCCAGTTTACTTGCTTTTAGTATGTCATTTGTGACCCTGGACCACAAAACTAGTCTCAAGTGTCAAGTTTTTTTTTATTGAGATTTATGCATCATCTGAAAGCTGAATAAATAAGCTTTCCATTGATGTATGGGACAATATTTAGCTGAGATACAATTATTTGAAAATCTGAGTGTGCAAAAAAATCGAAATATTGAGAAAATCACCTTTAAAGTTGTTCAAATGAAGTTCTTAGCAATGCATATTACTAATCAAAAATGAAGTTTTGATATATTTACGGTAGGAAATTTACAAAATATCTTCATGGAACATGATCTTTACTTAATATCCTAAAGATTTTTGGCATAAAAGAAAAATCTATAATTTTGACCCATACAATGTATTGTTGGTTATTGCTACAAATCCCCAGCGACTTAACACTGCTTTTGTGCTCCAGGGTCACATTTGGTCTTACTGTGCACTACTGTACACTTTTAATCAGTGCATGTTACAGTAAAATATTTTGTAATATTTCGTCAAGATGTGTTCACGTTCTTCACCTCTTGTGACAAAGGAGGTGTGAGTGAGGAAATAATATTAACCAACAATCTAATAAAATCAAAATTATTTAAATAAAGCCCTTCCCTGCATAATTAGTACGTGTTGCTATAGAAGTGAAGCGCAATTTCATGTTGTCTTTAATTTGTCCATATTTCCAGCCAAACACTTCTCCCCAATTAGTTAAATTGTCATGAGGTAATGTTTGATTCTGGTTGAGAGAACTGAATTGAGCTGATAGCTCCTGCTGCACATAAAGACCTTCATTACCCAGCATGCATCACTCATGTAGCCCCCCCCACCATGTTCCTGTTGTGTTACATTGAACAGCGTTTCTCAGTCATTTCCACGGCTCCTCCTGTATCGCACAGTGAACTGAAGCGCCCGGTTCAGCCCGGATGGACTCTGCTTTTGTCAAGTTGCATCCAAGCATGCAGCTCAGGGAGCCTACTGTGGAGAACTACCGTGCTTGAAGACTCAGATCCCAGAATGTTACAAATGTCTGATGAGACGACTAGTGATGACTGTGTGTGTTGAGTGAAAGCATCTAGAGTATGAAGACGTACTGCTTTTCTGCTACTGTGGACACACGCATTTGCTAAATGAGGACACACTGTAGTTTTTTATTGTTTTTATATAAGGGTAATTATAATTACTACAGATGAACCCAAACACTACCCTTAAAATAAAACTGTATATGTCTCTAAGGAGAGGTTGCATCAGATTTAGCTCACTTGGGGACTTTTAGGAGTTTTGGTCATCTAAAGTAAACACACACAATATCTACTCTACAGTATATCACCAAGTTTCTCTACTGAAAGAAGTACACTTATTTTGATGTGTTGACTAACAAACTAAAGCACATGTAACAATCTTAAATAGAATTCTAGTGTATTATTTGATGTTACATTTAAAGTTAATATATTTAAAAAATTCATGAGGATGATGTAAACTTCATTACATCATTACAAATGATTCATAAACCCTAACAAATACAAATGACATATAGAGAGTATATTTATCATAAATCTTTGTCAGTACATTCAGCAGTAACACTTTAACCATATTTCATAGTCAACATGAAATTATATGTAAATATGTTCTGAAATCCTACTTTAGTGGGTCAATTTAATTAATTGCATTTAATATCAATTTTAACTATAATGTATTTTCATTTCATTTAAATTAACATGCAGTTAAGTATACAGTATATCACATATCGCATATATTATTTTAAAGAATATTATTTCCATATTTTCTTTAAAGTATGCTAAAGTGTACTTATTTTTCACAAGGGCTATTAATAATTTATCATTAAAGGATTCACATTACTTAAAAATTTTAAGAACTACCAGATGCTCAATGTAAAAATCTGGAAGCAGAATCAACTGGAAAGCACTGCTCTGTATGTTTTAGCAAAGCCTCATCACACACACACACACATATGGCATTATGAGTGCCGAAACTGAACTGACAGCTTACTCGTAAACCTAATATAACTCCAGTCATCTGGGTTAACAGTGTCAGATGCTAACATAGAGCTAACATGACAGAACTAGCAAGAAAGAAGACGTTTTCTACAGCGGTGGGGTATTAAAACGTCCCCTTAGGCCACGGCTCTGGCAGAGACAGCGCTGAAGTGTAGAGGACAACACTTCATCCAAACAGCTGCGTCTCTCTGACATCTGCGATGAAGAGAAGTTCTAGTCCCTTACAAGCTGTGACCGAATGAAGTCTGATTATCAAAGTCTGCAGAAACCTTAACAAGTGTCTCAGGCAAGGCCGGTGCTGTGTAGAAGCAACTCTAAAAGCACGCTTGGCTTTGTTCTCGAGAATCGAGGGGGATTGCTTGTAAATCATTTCCTGTGGTTGCGATTCCTGTGCATTTGATAATATTCAGAGGTATATTTTGTGGTCCGATATATATATATATATATATATATATATATATATATATATGTCATACGGGTGGCCGACCTGCTGCAGCACATCAATCTGATGAAGACCTCCGACAGTTACGGCTTCAAGGAGGAGTATGAGGTTAGACCGTGAGCACGCCGCTCTCGTCTGAGTCAACAGTCAGAGCTGTCAGTCTAGTGCATGCATCTGTGAGAATGTGAGAACCCTTAAGTGATCTTAAAGCTAAAGTGTGTCATTTCTGAATCACCAAAAATGACTGGAAACAATAAATATTGCTTTTAAACCTTGCCCTCTGTCTTCCATTGTTCAGTTGAACTATGGAACTATTTTAAAGCAAAAGTTTACCAAAAAATTAAAATTTGCTTCAAATGCACTCACTCTGAGGCCATCCAAGATGAGTTTGTTTCTTCATCAGGTCATGTGACAGATTGATGGACTGGAGTGGTGTGGATTATTGTGATGTTTTTATCAGCTGTTTGGACTCTCGTTCTGACGGCACCCAGTCACTGGAGAGCATCCATTGGTGAGCAAGTGATATAATCAGACCGGACAGGTCCATCCAGCCATACGGGTGGCCGACCTGCTGCAGCACATCAATCTGATGAAGACCTCCGACAGTTACGGCTTCAAGGAGGAGTATGAGGTTAGACCGTGAGCACGCCGCTCTCGTCTGACTCAACAGTCAGAGCTGTTAGTCTAGTGCATGCATCTGTGAGAATGTGAGAACCCTTAAGTGATCTTAAAGCTAAAGTGTGTCATTTCTGAATCACCAAAAATTACTGGAAACAATAAAGATTGCTTTCAAACCTTGCCCTCTGTCTCCCATTGTTCAGTTGAACTATGGAACTATTTTAAAGCAAAAGTTTACCAAAAAATGAAAATTTGCTTCAAATGCGCTCACTCTGAGGCCATCCAATATGAGTTTGTTTCTTCATCAGGTTGGGAGAAATGTAGCATTGCATCAGTGTCTCAGCAATGGATGCTCTGCAGTGAATGGGTGCCGTCAGAACGAGAGTCCAAACAGCTGATAAAAACATCACAAGTAATCCACACCACTCCAGTCCATCAGTGAACATCTGGAGAAGACAAAAGCTGAAACAAATCCAGCATTAAGACCTTTTTAACTTCAAACTGTTGCTTCCGGCTAAAATATGAGTCCATAATAGTGAAAAAGGAATCTCGTCTGAATCAGGAGAGAAATATGCACAGGTCATGTGACAGATTGATGGACTGGAGTGGTGTGGATTATTGTGATGTTTTTATCAGCTGTTTGGACTCTCGTTCTGACGGCACCCATTCACTGGAGAGCATCCATTGCTGAGCAAGTGATTAATGCTAAATTTCTCTGAACCTGTTCCCATGAAGAAACAAATTCATCTACATCTCGGATGGCCTGAGGGTGAGCACATTTTTAGCAAATTCCTATTTTGGTGTTGAGATTACAAGTCTCAAAACGAAACTCTTAAAAGCGTAATGTAGCACAGTTTTGCATAGCCCACTGTGAAATAAATGACTCTCAGAATTGAATTGTTTGCTGCCTCCAACAAAATTCGTATTTTTGTTTCTCTTGCAGGGATACCAGAGGCCCAGCCATTACATCGCAACTCAAGGTAAACGAGGACGGCTGAATTAATCGTCTTTTCTTTGTTGCCAAAAACAAAAACTGACTGATGTTTAAATATAATGAACTAAATATTGTGTACTATAACAAATAATCAGTAAGTGGATTGTCGTCGTATGTGGAAACTGCATTCTTTTTTATCTGATACACATCTTAAAAAGTGTGCATGCTCATAAATTCAAAATTATTCACTGAAACATGCACCGGAAACATTTGTGTCGCGACAAGTACAAAAAAATAGCATCTACGTGAAATAGTTTTATTTAAGTCAAAAATATTATTCAATATTGCTGCATCAACCTCAGTGTATTAATTTATACCAAAACTACTTTATATGGGTTAAATCATGTAGAATAAAGCAATAAGCCCCGTGAAGCCGTGGTTTACAGTGAATTGCCGGAACTATCCGTTTTATAATGTGGCATACGAAAGTAAACTTGCAAACAATACTCATTTTATATACCACTAATACATTCTACTTTATTTATATCACAAAAGATGCCGTGCAAAATCTGTCAAATGATGCCAATTTTTTTTTTCTCTCCCAAATGTAAATGACTGAAATGAAAAATTTGACGGATATCAAATGAAAACAGAGATTTAGAGAAATAAAGCAGAGCGTTTGGCTTTCCCACAGGCCCTGTCCACGAGACGGTGTACGACTTCTGGAGGATGATCTGGCAGGAGCAGTCGGCTTGTATCGTGATGGTAACCAACCTAGTGGAGGTGGGCCGGGTATGTCGCTATACTGCCTGCGGAGGGGCCGTTGTGTGTTTTTGTGCTCTGTGATGTGACCTGTGAAGGCCCCTGCCTGCAAAAACCTTTTGAAGAGTGAGCGAGGACTAGTAATTAATCTGCTCGAAGTCACAAAAATGGGTGAATCTCACAGAGCCTGTCAGGAACGGGTCATATTTCACCCCAAAATCAAAAGATAGAAATAATAAACTTTTTTGACGCTTCTCAAAGGGTTGAAGCATGTCTGTGTATGTATTTTGTACATTTGTGCACGTTGTGGACGCTTTGTTTAATTCTATCATTATGCACTAGTGAGTGAACTGATTTCACAGCAGTCTTTATATCATAATGCTCTTGGAGCTAATGATCACCACAGTACTAGAGGTGATCACTCACATCTTAAAGCATTTAAGCAAGATTTCAGCTTGAAGATTGAAGCATGCCATGAATTAAATCAGACTGCTGTGAATCAAGCTTTGCATCGGTCAGTATAGTTACTGTATTCAAGACATGTGTTTGCATTGGAGTGCATGTGATTTGCTCTGTATTTTACGTTTGATGGGTCTCATCCTCCTGTAGGTGAAATGCTATAAATACTGGCCAGATGATGCTGAAGTTTATGGAGATTTCAAAGTGACGTTTGTGGAGGTCGAGCCGCTCGCGGAATACGTTGTCAGGACTTTCACTCTGGAGAGGGTGAGATTATTTTGACCGTGTTTAAAGTTTATTGTTAAAACCTTTTGTCTAGCATGGCAAGTGTGGCTAATGTTCTGTAAGCCCGAAGGAAATACGTTTAATGCACAGAGGCCTCACAAAGTATTTGGACACTTTTGAGCACTTAGGTCACGGTTATAAATATGTGAGAGTCTGTATCTGCATGTGTCAAAATCACTTTTATTCATACATATACAGTACTTTAAAACCACAAACATGCATGAAGTTACACAACACTGACTGACTGTCTTCATGTTCAACACCGCATCTGTCGTTGCAGTACTTCAAGTACCCCCTTTTTTAATAATGTTTATCTTGTAAAATGCACTGGTGCATCTTTCTCTGCACTTGCTGTGATATTTTGTCATTAGTGTGACTTGAAATATCCAGAAGCTTTTTGGGGCCAATGTATTTGCAGGGAAAGTGTTTTTCGGTCTATCATTTTTCCAGGTGCTCAGGTGTTTTGTGGATGCTTGTTCTTATTTCCGCAGAGGGGCTTTAATGAGGTGCGAGAGGTAAAGCAGTTTCACTTCACTGGCTGGCCCGATCACGGAGTCCCGTATCACGCTACAGGACTGTTGTCATTCATCCGACGAGTCAAGATGTCCAACCCTCCCAGCGCTGGGCCTATCGTCGTCCACTGCAGGTACAGTGCATCAACACATCCTCGGCTCCTTCACACACGGTACAGCCTGGAAATGCAGAGCTCATGTGAGCATGCCAGCTGTAGTAAGATCATTTGCAGTAAATGTTGGCCTTTGGTGGAATGTGAATAGTAGCGAAATGAATCAAACACGGAAAGCCACAGCATTTGTGAATGACAGAAAATGTGTAAAAGTGGCAACTGAAAAATATTGCTAATGAAATGTCATAACTGCTTTGTACTGGCTTGAAGACAAGAAGGTGATTTCAGAATTCTTAATGTTTTAAATAGTTCACCCCCAAAAAAGTGCATTTACTGGAAATGTACTCCTCCCCTCAGTCCATCCAAGATGTAGATGAGTTTGTTTCTGTATTTGCATTGCATCACTTGCTCACCAGTGGATGCTCTGCAGTGAATGGGTGCCGTCAGAATGAGAGTCCTGATAAAAACATCACAATGATCTTGACAAGTGAAAAGCTACATGTTTGTAAGAAACGAATCCATCGAGGTGTTTTTAATGGCAAGCAGTGGCTTCCAGCTAAAATACAAGTCCATAATCCATAATATTGCTTTCTCCAGTGAAAATGTCATCTTGTCTGAATCAGGTGTGAAATATGCACAGACCAAGCAACAAAAGTTAACATTTAAAACATCTTAATGCTGGATTTGTGTCAGCTTTTATCTTCTCCAGATGTGAACTGATGGACTGGAGTGCTGTGGATTACTTGTGATGTTTTAATCAACTCTCATTCTGACGGCACCCATTCACTGCAGAGCATCCATTGCTGAGACACTGATGCAGTGACACATTTCTCCAAATCTATATTTCTACAAACTCATCAGCTCATCTCAGATGGCCTGAGGGGGAGCATATTTCTTTTAATGAACAGTACAGCATCTGAAGAAAGATCCACAGCTTGACATTTTCTATCCTTTTCTTAAGCAATGCATAGTCGAATCTGGAGGCCCGTCCCTGTTGAGACTGCTTCTTTTGTTGTAGATGAGAATGCATTGTCATTGGTTCATGACATCACTTCCTGTTCTTAGGGTCTTACCACAGCTCTTCTGCATATGCGGATGGTCTTGTGGTTGCTTCTTTATTTTGTCATGCTCACACTTCAGTGTACCCAGCGTCCACATCTGACACTGTTGGCCAGTCACAGCAGCTCTTATGACTCTTTGTACTCTTGGTTCTCAGCTCATTTAACACATCTGGCAGAAACTATTTTACCCTTAAACATTACCACGTTGCCTGCCGTTCATGCCCCAAGAACAGGATGTGGTCTCGTCTGCATTGCTGCATACAAAAAAAAAAGAAGAAAACAATGCCATGATGCAGCTTTCTTTTCCTTTCAACTGGTTGACAGTCTTTGATTGCTACTCTCTTTGTTTCTCATTGCATTATTCTGCCGTTCAGTCAAACAGAAAACGTTTTGATTGACAGTGATAACCACGGCAACAGAAAAATATAAAAATGCCAAAATGTAAAATTTGTAAATCTTAAATGCAAAGTAATAGATCTGCTACAGCAATATTAACAAGAAAAAGAAAACAAATCAGTGATAGATAACTAATAATAATAACAGACTTTGTTCTATTGCATGTGATGTATTTCTTTGTTCTTTATTTTAATATTTTAATGCTTTAATTCACTTGACTTTAAAGCAATGTGCACGTATTCTGAATATACTGGTTGCTGTATTATTTACTTATTATTAGCATTAAAAAAATAACACATTTAATATATATATATTTTAATGATTTAATATTTGTATTTTTAAACAGTTAAATAAAATAAAATTGGGAAATTTGACTGGTATTACTTGAAATAGCACTACTAGAAACTAAATTTACCAAATAAACTTTTTCAAATATTCCATGAAATATGTCGTACACATCTTTCATATTTTAAAATACAGATACAAAGACATTAAGCAAAGAAACCTAATTTAACTATCTAGATTTTAATACAATGTATTTCACATTTATGTGTATGTACACATTATTGTATTTAAAAAAATATGATGCCTTGGAAATTTCATACAAAGGAGAGAGCCACTTCTTTAGACAGTTTGCATGAATTAACAACAACTTAATTTTCTTTCCAGCGGTTTTTTGAGCATCCTGACACAAGTGCTTTGTTCTTAATCAAAAACTGTCTTTAGAGCCTAGTTTTTGTAGATAATGAAGCTTCACAAACAGCTCTGATGGCATTTGTAAAACAGTGAGCCACAGCTCACAGCACTACTCTCGTCTCTCTGCTGCTTATATACACTTGGAATGGTTTGATCAGTGATGAAATCGCTATGAGACGGATGATGATTTCTTCCCTGCTCTGTGCGTGTCAGTGCGGGAGCCGGCCGGACAGGGTGTTACATCGTGATTGACATCATGCTGGACATGGCAGAGAGAGAAGGGGTGGTGGACATCTACAACTGCGTCAAAGCTCTGCGCTCCAGACGAATCAACATGGTTCAGACTGAGGTGCGTTCAATCATGAGACTGAGTGTGGTCCTCTAAGGTTTTCTCCCCACTAAATATATTTTTAGGAAGCCACTGGTTATCAAATTCATAATGTTAGTTCTTATTTTGTTTTTGCTTTCAAGTTTACACAATTGAGACCGTGGTCCACAAAACCAGTCAAAAGGGTCAATTTTTTGAAATTGAGATTTATGCATCATCTGAAAGATGAATAAATGAGCTTTCCATTGATGTATGGTTTGTTAGGATAGGACAATATTTAGCCGAGATACAACTATTTGAAAATCTGGAATCTGAGGGTGCAAAAAAATCTAAATATTGAGAAAATCATCTTTAAAGTTGTCCAAATGAAGTTCTTAGCAATGCATATTACTAATCAAACATTAAGTTTTGATATATTTACGGTAGGAAATTTACAAAATATCTTCATGGAACATGATCTTTACTTAATATCCTAATGATTTTTGGCATAAAAGAAAAATCTATAATTTTGACCCATACAATGTATTGTTGGCTATTGCTACAAATATACCCCAGCGACTTGAGACTGCTTTTGTGCTCCAGGGTCACAATTTCATTTAATTAAGCATACAAAAGCATATGCTTTTGCCATTACTGCCAGTACCTAAAAAGTGCATGTTCAGAGGCCTGCAGTGCAGCTGCATTGATCTCTATAAAACATCTACTGTAGAAGAAGGAAGCCTCAGTCTTGACCACTGAGGGCCACTGTTGCATTTCTGCACTATTTACAACAACCACAAAGCAGTCAGCCATGCTGTAGTATCTGTCTTGCTGCTATGAGGCATTTCAGAGTGAATGAATTCAGAGTTCCTTTAAAAAAAAAAAAAAGGGTATTATTTAAAACAAGTGTTGCAGTTTTGCTACACACTAGTGCTAGTGTTACATGTTAAGCAAACTAATAGTGTTGTCAGAAATGAAAGTGCATGCACTTACGACACACAACCCCTGGTTTTCCCCTGGCTCTCAGGAGCAGTACATTTTCATCCACGATGCCATCCTGGAGGCGTGTTTGTGTGGCGAGACGGCGATTCCCGTGTGCGAGTTCAAAGCCGCGTACTACGACATGATCCGCATCGACTCTCAGAGCAATTCCTCTCACCTCAAAGACGAGTTCCAGGTACCTGACAAATGCTGCTGCTGATTATTCACGCCTGTGCTTTTCCTTCAGGACCCAGACTTTGCATGGACATCAAGTGGAGACCCAGCACAAAAATCCAAACTTTGTTCAACAAATGAAACAAATATACTTCCTTACATTCAAACACTATTTTATTCCTTTTTAAATATGCAGCATCATTTATGGTTCTGTGCTCTTGGTAGGTAGTAATTCACAGCACAGAACACTGTATTTAAAGCATTCTTGCAGAGTTTTATTCGTGGTTTTTGAAGATGCACGCATGTCACGCAACCTGTTTGTGTTGGCATCTGGTTCATTTGACTAGTTTCTACCAAAAGGCATACGATGCACGGCCTTTGACATGAACAACAAAAGCAGCAGAATAACCCTCACCCGCTGTTGTCCACTCTCTCCTGTGCAGACGCTGAACTCAGTGACTCCTCAGCCTCAGCCTGAAGACTGCAGCATTGCACTCCTTCCTCGAAATCACGACAAGAACCGTTTCATGGACAACCTCCCGCCCGACCGCTGCCTGCCCTTCCTCATCACCATCGACGGAGAGAGCAGCAACTACATCAATGCAGCGCTAATGGATGTAAGTATGGCTTCCTCGCTCTCGCTCTCTTTTCCTCGTCTCCTTTATGTTAGACACACGCTCTGTTCCAAAACCTAGTGAGCTGCCAATGGAGGTAAGATTTGAGGGCAGCCAAAAGGTAGGCAACTTAACTCTGCTGCCTTCTGAGATACCTTGTTTTAGTCAGTCTTTTAGCATTACCAATACTAAAAGTTATAGTAAACATATTGATAACAACAGTTCAGTATGATAAAAATGTAAGTCTTTATGCTGTGGATTCTTAATGAAACATGCTAACATCAAACTCTACTGAGTCAGTCCCTCACTTGTGTGTAGTGTAGCTAGTAGACAGCGAGAGCTCTCATTGGATTTTGGAACGGAGCTACAGAAAGCTAGAGACAAATCCAGGTGGCAAGTCCTTTGAGTGGGACAGATGTTAGCGTGAGCCACTTTCAACCCTATTCCAGTCGCTCTGTAACGTGGTGACAGTGTCGTGTAGATCAGCGATACGATTATCCGTCTTGAATTAGTAAAGCATTCAATTAGCCTCTTTTTAGTAGTGTAATGAATTCATTCTTCTTGATGGCTGTATGTGGTCCTAAATTGAACTTTCTTTCATTTGGGTTTTCAAAAATAATTCCAAAGTCCAAACTGTTTTAGTAACATTGTCGGAAAGGGCGAGGTAAGTGTAAGTGTGAATCTCTTGCTTTAAAGTGTTAATTTTGTTATTTATTAAAGGGGTCATATGACGTTGCTAAAAAATAACATTATGTTGTGTATTTGGTGTAATGAAATGTGTTTATGCGGTTTAAGGTTCAAAAAACACATTATTTTCCACATACTGTCTATTATTGTTTCTCCTCTATGCCCCGCCTTTGCGTCGACTTTTACAAAGCTCATCGGTCTGAAAAGCAAGGTGTGCTCTGATTGGCCAGCTATCCAGTGCGTTGTGATTGGCCGAATACCTCAAGCGTGTGACGGAAATGTTACGCCCCTCACCATACTGTGATGATGCCCTGTCCGGCCGGAGCGACGAGACAAAAACATTAAAACACATTATAAACGAGGCATTTGTTGCATCCAGTGGGGACATAATTATGGATTATAATGACTTATACTGTCTTTTTACGCGTTGCGTTGCATCGCGCCGCGTAAACATAAAACCATGTCTGCATTTGTGATCGGAGAAATGACGAACAAGCGCTTCTCTACACTGCTCAAAACTCGCGTTTGAATCATCAGTGGCAAATCCTTTAAATATGAAAACATACTTACAGGCTGTGAGTCAGCATTATTTGTCAGAACAGACGGCATTGTAATCTACTCTCCCAAGAAACAGTCCTCGTCCTCCGTAAAATGTGCTGCACACATCTGAATATTTGGTTTGAACTGTTCTGGAACAGTGTTGTAAATACAACTTAACTTGAAATTGCATCATATGACCCCTTTAAAGGACAAGTTCGCCCAAATCCTGAACGTTCTGCCATCATTTCTTACCCTCAAGTCTGGAGGGGGTTTTTTTTCCTTCTTTCTGTGGTAAACAACTGGAGATTTTTAACACTGTATTTATTTCCATACAACAAAAGTGAGTGGTGACCAGTTACTGTCAAGCTACAAAAAAAAGGGCAAGAAACCACCATAAAAGTAGTCCATACTACACACTTATGCACTTTTAACTGAACAGAAGCACAAATTTGTGATCCGAATCTGTCCCTCGTTCAACGCTACCATATGACATCAGAAGTCTTTCAGCTTGAGTCGTATGAACTACTCTTAGTGTGTTTTGAGCATCACAGCCCTTGGTCACTGCAGGATTTCATTATATGTGACCCTGGACCACAAAACCAGTCATAAGGGTCAATTTTTCGAAATTGATATGTATACATCATCTAGTAGCTGCCTAAAAATTCCTCCAAAACTCTCCTTTTGACTTCCACAGAAGAAAGAAATGACACGAGGGCGAGTGAATTTTCAGTTTCTAGTTTGAGAATGCATTTGTTTAGTGTCTAGACTGATCTGTGAGTGACAGTGCATCCTTCTCCTAGTGCTTCATTTGTCATGGCTGTCTGTGTAAGTACTGTAATGAATTCGCTATCTAGCGTAGAGCACTGTTTTCCTATGTGCACAATCGTCTGTGTATCTGAGAGCGTGTTCAGTCAGTGACATCCCACAGCCGATGACCTCTGACCCTGGGAGACGGTGATCGCACAGCCACAATCAGCTACTTTGACAGCTGAACTCAAAAAGTTGTGATTTTAGAGGGTAATTTTTAAATCGCTTCCTCGTACGCTTCACAAACTCTTGGACTTTTTTTAACCAAGCCGTCAGAAGAATACCAGGTAATTTCTGATTCAGTTCTGCCTCTGTTAGACTGGATTTGTTTCGTGGCTTTAGTGGTATGTCAGCACTTTCCATTCAACCTCTCTATACTGGGTTTGCTACAGCATGCAGAGAAAAACGAATGCATTTAATCACTTACAGAGATGTACATGTATCACACTGACACATCGGCAAAGACACACACGCAGGAAACGACACACGTTTATATCATATATCATTTATGTCGAATGCTCACTGTGGTCCGTGCATGATCGTACACATTCACACATCGGCCATCCTGAAAAAAGCCCCATCTTCATCTTGGTTGTGCGTAAGTGTCAGAAAGCAGAGTGTTTGCAGGAAGTACATTGTGTTCTATGTTATGCAGAGCTACAGGCAGCCGGCCGCGTTCATCGTGACCCAGCATCCGTTACCCAACACCGTCAAGGACTTCTGGAGGCTGGTGTATGATTATGGATGCACCTCCATCGTCATGCTAAACGAGATCGATTTGGCTCAGGTGAGATTGTGTTGTTATTATTCTTATGAAATGTTTGTGCAACGTATATTGAAGGAATGAGAAGACATCGAAGATCAGCTGGTTAGCGAGTGAAGTCAGTGGAAAACAATCTGTTTATGTTGAGCACAATTGAATGTTTATTTTGCGTGTTTAAAGGAAGAGTTCACCCAAAATGAACATTTGCAGGAGATGTGCTCACCCTCAGGCCATCCGAGATGTAGATGAGTTTGTTTCTTCATCAGATTTGGAGAAATGTAGCATTGCATCACTGTCTCACCAATGGATGTGGATGGGTGCCGTCAGAATGAGAGTCCAAACAGCTGATAAAAACGTCACAATAATCCACACCACCCCAGTCCAATCCACGTCTTGAGAAGACAAAAGAAACGAGTTAAGACAGTTTAACTTTAAGCTGTTGCTTGATCTATGCATATTTCTCGCCTTATTCAGATGAGGTGGTTTTTCACTGGGGGAATTTATTATGGCTTATGAACTTGGTTTAAAGTTAAAACATCTAAATGATGGATTCGCACAGCTTTTGTCTTCTCAAGACGTTAACTGACGGACTGGGGTGGTGTGGATTATTGTGATCAGCTGTTTGGACTCTCATTCTGACGGCACCCATCCACATCCATTGGTGAGACAGTGATGCAATGCTACATTTCTCCAAATCTGATGAAGAAACAAACTCATCTACATCTGGGATGGCCTGATGATGAGTACATTTTCAACAAATCTTCACTTTTGGGTGAACTATTCCCTTAATGCAACAGCAGGTTATCTGTCAGTGGCTCCTGTGTGTGTTTGATCCGTGTGTAATCGGTGTGTTCAGGGCTGTCCTCAGTACTGGCCGGAGGAGGGGATGCTAAGATACGGCCCTGTACAGGTGGACTGCATATCCTGCTCTATGGACTGTGATGTCATTAGTCGTCTTTTCAGGATATGCAACCTGACCAGGGTGAGTTTTTCCGCATGTCTCTGAAAGCCATTCATCATTTTGCAACAAAGTGCAGAGCCGGACACTGGTCTTGGGCAGAAGTGCATAGTTACATTGATGTGTGTGTGTGTGTGTGTGTGTGTGTGTGTGTGTCCTAAGCCTCAGGAAGGTTACCTGATGGTCCGTCAGTTCCAGTACCTGGGATGGGTGGGTCATAGGGAAGTTCCCGCCTCCAAGCGCTCGTTCCTCAAGCTGATCCTCCAGGTGGATAAATGGCAGGAGGAATGCGAGGAAGGCGATGGACGCACTATTATACACTGCCTGTGAGTACAGATGGAAAGAGACCAAAAGCAGCTGTTTGTGTATTAATCAGTAGCTACGGTTTTACTTGTGGACGGACAGGAAGTCAGACCACAGTCTACTCATCTAATCTCTCGTCAGTATTTGCTGGCATCAGATTTACCCACACCTACACATCACATTAAAAGCAGACTATAACTGGTCCTTTGACTGATCAAGTTAATTTTCTACACTTTATTCATGAAGCATAAATACAATTATGTATGCTTTATGCTTAAATTATTTATGCTGCATAAATAAAATTGACATATAAAATAATGTTATGGCTTACATTCTGTTTAAAGGGATAGTTCACCAAATATGAAAATTCTGTCATCTACTCACCCTAAGTTGTTCCAAACCTGTATGAATTTATTTCTTCTGTTGACCACAAAATAAGTTATTTTGAAGTTGCTGATTTTTTTGTTGTTGTTGTTGCGGTTATTTTGCCTTTGTGGGTGAACTATGCATTTAATGCTTCATTAACTCTTGTACAGCATACCTTTAAAATAACAATTATTATGAAAATGTATTATAGTTTAAATTTATACTAAATACAGTTAGCTAAACTTTAGAGTGCCTTTTTTCTAAACTCAAGGAGTTTTATGTTTGTGCATATTTATATGTAATTTCATAATTCTATTGTCTTTTAAATATAGTACTTGCTGAATGTAATGACAAGCATTTATGATAAACTAAAATATACTTTAATTATATTTTATGAAGTTGTTTTTAAGAATTTCTATTGAAACGTGTTTGTCATTTGTATTTGCAATTACACGTTTTGTAAATTTGCAATTTATTGCATTTAAGATTCAAAGATATAATATATTAACTCTAAATGTAATATCAAATAACACGAGTTAAAATTCGAATCAAGTACTTTACATGTGCTTTAGTATGTTAGTCAACACATCCAAATAAATACATGCTTTAATAAAGAATATTAAAGCATGATTTATAATGTACTTTAAAGTAAAGCTTTTAATTTGATTTTATTACCAAGTGCATTTTTTAAAAGTTACTTACATGTGTTAAGAAACTGTGTCTCTCTTTAAATACACTTAAGTGGCCTTTTTATTTGATTCTATAATGTTATCTGCAAGTGCAGTTTTTATGTACTTTTAAGATCTGAAGTACACCACAAATGCACATCCGATAAAATTAAGCTCACTTCTTTTTTCACAAAGGAAACCCCAGCGAGCAAACCTGTAAGGTGTTAGTAGTGGGGGGGAAAAAAGCCAAGTGATCAAAAGTCTGGCATTTCTCACTGATCTTGAGCAGGGTTTCTCCATCAGAACTGACCCTTCACTACAGCATGTGTGTAATGTAATGTTCGTCTGGATACAGAGTGATTGCACACACACCGTTACAGTGGAGAAGTGTGTGTGTGTGCTGGAGTACACACACACACACACACACACACACACACACACGTGTCTCTTCATGTCTCTCTGTCTCTGTAGGAACGGAGGCGGCCGCAGTGGGATGTTCTGTGCCATCAGTATTGTGTGTGAAATGATAAAGCGGCAGAATGTTGTAGACGTCTTTCATGCTGTGAAGAGTCTGAGGAACAGCAAGCCCAATATGGTGGACAGCCCGGTATGAACCAACATCTACACTCATTATGCGTTTGTTAGCAGTGTCATCAGCCAGAGCAAAACACCTGAGTTTTAGGTCTTGTAGTCACATGGTGCAGAATTACAACTAACTTTAAACCAAACCCCACAGCAGCAACACAACTGAATATCACTCAGCACTTATCTGAGTAATTACAGTGTAACAATGACACCTTAAAATAAAATGTAACCTCATTGTATTTTTGTCTTGCTGAATATCCCAGCACTCGAGACTCGAGAAATATTGTGTACGATACTAAAAATATCTTCCACTGGCAAATCCATCTTTCTTGCTTTAGGACACATGTAATGTAATGCTGTGTGTGAGCTGAGAAAAATCAACTGAATTTAAGGTGCATTCCCTGAAAACACAGCATCTCCAGTTTGTCCTGATTTAAGGATGCTGAGATATTTCACAAAAATACTGATCAGGAAAGATATTTTTTGAATGCTGTGTTGAGTCAAGCACTGACATTTCACAGTAAATGCAAATAAAAAAAATATAAAACTGGATAATAATCTAATACAATGTAAGCCAAAAATCATCATTAAAGCCCACGTTTTTTTTTGTTTTTTTTTTAGGCAAATAAAAAGAAGTCTATTTTATACTTTATATGATTTTTATTCTTCCTTATTTATCGTGTTCTTTATATTTAGAAATTCACATTTGTATGTTAGCTGTCCATTTAGCGTGAGTAAGAGAGACTCCATCAGATGTTTATCAGGGCTCGATATATTTCATGATAACCTGGCGTGGCTCAAAGAGCTTCACCACATCCTCTGCAGCTCTTCAGAGAGTCAAGCCCATGTTTGCCTCTTAAAGTTCATCACAATCTGGACCGTTGCTGTGTTGTTTGAGAGTAAAACTGATCATTTCCCTCTCGCTCTGCAGGAGCAGTACCGCTTTTGCTACGATCTGGCTCTGGAGTACATCGAGACGTCGTAATGGAGACGTACGGACTCGTGTGTGTGTGTGTGTGTGTGTGTGTACTGGTTTATATATCCTGGTGGGGACTTAAACCTGAATACACACAGACTCATGGGGACTCGTGTCACGGTGGGGACCTAAATTGTGGTCCCCACGGGTACAAAAGCTTATAAATCATACAGAATTAAGTTTTTTGAAAATCTAAACACACTCGGCTTATTTTACATGTGACACGGAGATTGAGTGCCGTGGAAATGTCTCCATTCGTGCATATGTGTTGACTTTCATGAGATTCAAGTGCCGGCCATGTTTCTTTTAATATGAACTTTTTTTTTTTTTATGATTTCGTGCAGTCATTTGAAACACTAAGCCCGAGCTGTTGCATGCTGAAGACGCTCTTTATTTCTTTGTGTCTATGACTGTTCCTGTTAATAAACATATGTGTAGTAGTGCTCGTGTAAATGGACATTGTTTCGAAAGGGAAAAAAACAAACAAACACGTTCATCCATCGATCGAGAGCGTGTAACTGTGGCTCGAGAAGACTGAATGGCTGGCTTATTATGTGTTCTTTTGTTTTTTGGTAGCAGACGATGACCATAAGCCAAAGACTTGTGTAAAAATGTCTATAGGGATGAAGCACATTGTTTGTATTTATTGTTTACTTGCATTTTTGAAAGCTCAAAACAATCATTATCATTCCCCGTTCGGCTGAAATTTTCACTGCAAGCGCTCTTTTATGTACGAGACAGATTTAAGTAGTGTTATTTTATTTTGTTGTTGTTGTTGTATTTGAAAATTGTATTTCTTTTGAAATCTTTTACATGGTATCGTGGTTTGTTTTACGCAACTGATTGTGAATTATTCCTTTGCCGAGGAGAAAAGAGAAGAGCTCTATTTTTTCTGATGTTTTCACATTTGTATTGTGCTGGAAATGGAAAAAAAAAAAAAAAAGCACAAACAATGAAGTGTATGCATTAAAAAATATATACAGTATTAGACTCTAGTGTATTTAGGATCAAAGCCAATTTAAGAAGAAAGTGCAGCCTGTATCGATGCTGATCAGACGTTTTATAGAAAACAAAACAACAAAAAAATCCATCATGTGAAATAATAACTTATGTATTTTTTGTCTGTAGTTGCTGGCTTTCGCTGTATTACGATGTCAAATAGTAAAAATACTTTGAAATAAAAAAAAAGATATGTTAAAGAATGTGTTTGGAATGAATAGTTTTAAAATGTGGGTTTGTTGGAAATGTTGCGGTGGTTTCCCAGCCTTGCCACACAATATTGCTGTAAAAATGAGTCGGTGATGTTGTGTGTTTCAGTGATTTGGATCCCTGTTGTTTTGACTTGCATTGGGCCCTGATGTCATGAAGTCAGGCAGAGGATGTGGGATTTGTGTATGTCATAGTATTTTTGCAGCTCTGCTTAACAATGCGTTGAGTTGTGGTCTTCGAGCTGCACTCGGCTTCCTGTCCTCCTCCGCGGCGCAGGATGCCTCACAGTCTCGCTCTCAGTCTGCACTGCTGAGCTCAAGGGGCGTCTGGAGGGCCAAAGGGCATCCTGGGAGTTCCTCTGCCTCCATTAACCCTCTTACGGGACGTTTTATGGATCCGCGAGGTACAGAGCCACGTCTCTCAGCCCGTCCAGAGCTTTAAAAACGTCTCCTCGTAAAAGCCGCAGCAGAAGATGGCTACGACGCTGCATGAATTCACGCAGGTTCTGGACCCTAAGATGTTCCCCAGAGTGCTTCAGATCCAGTCAGGAATATATTGTCAAGGTAAGAGTAAAACTGGAGAGCTACCTGCTCAGAATTCATCTGCTCCTCACAGTCAAATAATAGCTGCAATTACGCATTTCCAACATTTTAAAACCTAGTGTGCACTTATTGGTGTAGGTGAGAAACAACATGTTGGTGAAAAATTAATACTGATAATTCATAAGCTTGCTGTTTGTTTTTTAAACACTTTTTTTTTTAAATAAAGCGCGAAATAGGCAGCATAATCCTGTTCCTCAATTTGTGTTGAAGCGTTGAAGACAGGCACGTTTTTACATATGAACCAATAGCAGCTTTCACAAAAGTATCCTTTTTAAACATTTAAGAGGCAACTCCAACTAGCAAGAAAAGTTTGAAGAAACAAAGTTAAATTCATTTTCAAACCGCATGATGCCGAGCGGAAACCCACTTCTTTCTGATCTTTTTCTAGTTCCTTTTAGTCAGTAATATGTCTTTTGTGAAGTCATTTATCTGTACTCCAGTGCTCGTGGTGAAATAGTTGTACTGCAACCGATACAAAATGGTTTGCAATGTATTTTAACATGCTTTAAACACTTTTTTTTCTTTTTCAGGCTGCGTGTATGAGATGTTTGGAAGAGAGTGCTCTCTTTCGACAGGAGATTTGCTGAAAGTCATTGATATCACCATCACCAGATTCAGTGCTCGGACCCCCAGCAACACTGAGATTGAGATTCCTGTGGAATACCCAGGTACCAGAGTTTCAGTGGACTGTAGATGTTTCAAACCTAAGACCATATATATATATATATATAAACTAACTATTTGTGTCTTTGATTAGCAAGTGACCTGGTTATTGTTGGTTGAAATGCATCTGTTTAAATCAAGGGAAAATTACGGTGGCCGAGAGAGCTCAACGCGCTGCAACTTAAGAAAACACATGCAAATTGAAAAAACACCAGCAAATTAAGAAAACATCTTCATCAGTTTGACAACACACACGCTGCAAATCCTCACAACACATGCAAATGAAGAAACGCGCTGCAAATCCTCACAACACAACCAAATAAGGAACGCGCTGCAAATAGCACGGACCACAACGGAAATGTTTCAAGGGGACCCAAAAAAGTGACGGACCCGGCTGGGATTTGTTTTTTTTATTTTTTTTTATATAATGCTTTATTATCAACAAGTAGCTTCATTTGCATGTGTTGTGAGGATTTGCAGCGTGTGTGTTGTCAAACTGATGAAGATGTTTTCTTAATTTGCTGGTGTTTTTTCAATTTGCATGTGTTTTCTTAAGTTGCAGCGCGTTGAGCTCTCTCGGCCACCGTAGAAAATAGCTAATCGTGGTCGGTCTGTTTGAGAAGCACCTGATCATTTGCTATAGAAATCTAACTGTGCCATCAGTTGAACATTTATTCATGCATTTGTTTTGTTAGTGAATTTAAATCTATTAACCTTGTTTTGGTAATGATAAACAAAAGATTAAAGACAAAAGATTTTTAAAAAATGCATAAAAAAGCTCACATACATTAAATAATTGCACATACATAAAACAGGCTAACAACGACAAAAACATATTTTGAAGTATGCGCGTGCGTCTATGTTACTTTCACAGTCGGCTTTACAGTTCGTTCAGTCCTTGTGTGTCCAAAAGAAGTCGTGTTGCAGATCTCGTCATCTGCTCATCCATGATAATTTTGCATGTTTTTTTTTTTTTTACGTTTGTGAATGTTTTGAATAAATGTTATATAATAACATCATTATAAGATAATCTGTTGCTTCTGATCATGCCAGTTCTGTCACATGAAATTCATCAAATTACAAAATAAGGTGACATTTTACACATTTTCGAAATGTTCCTATTGTTTTGCATATGTTCATTCTTTTTATTTGTACACAGTGACTTATAACTTCTGTCTGTACCTCAGAAGACTGGTTCTTATGTATGATAGTGATGTTATCAATGTAGGTTAAAGTGTCAGTGTTACAACTCACTTCATGCTAAAATCATCCCGTTTCTTAAGTCGCAAGCTGTTCTAATAGGACAGTGAAGATCGTTTCGCTAGTGAAGGACAATGACGTTTCAGAAAAGCGATTTTGTGATTTTACTAGCATAGTGGCTGTTTATTAGTACTTTCTAAAGCACATATTAATGCCTTATTCTGCATTAGCATTTTTTTAGATCCCTTAATCCACCCCATACCTAAACTTAACCACTACCTTACTGTTAATAAGCAGCAAATTAGGAGTTTACCGAGGAAAAAGTCATAGTTAATAATGAGAATTAATCCCTAAACTAATATTTGAGCCAAATATCATTGTCTTGAACCTGATGTGAACAGCAACTGATATGCAAAGAGAGAATTTGAGCAAACTCACTGCTGCGTTACCAGTTATGTGCAGAGCTTTGATGCTTCTGTCTTTATGATGTTCAGCTGCTCATCATAACCATAAGGTTGTCCTAGATAGGGTTTTCCATGACAATCTTAGCCGAATGTTGAAGGGATGTTGCTGGGATGGCTTAAGGACGAAAAGCTCCATCTTCACGTGGATAAGTCAGATATAGTGGACAGTGGAGTTGTTTTTCTTTTCCATTGGTCATGTCTTACAAGACTTTGACTGATGCATCATCCAAAACAATAGTGGTATAATGCCCTGTTAATGACTCACTAAAAAACTTTTGTGCTTGTATTTTTTTTATTGCCCACATTCTCTCTGCTGTCACCACTTTTGGTCCTTGTAGTGACTTAACATTGGCTCTGTGCTCTATGTGACAGGATTGTTCAAGCTAGTGGCTGACAGTCAGCCGTACCAAAGCATACAAGAGATAGCTGACTCAGTGAAGATCAGCTCCCACAGACTGTCCCAGCCGGTATTCCTCAGCGGTTCGGAGATTCAGCCGGCGCAGGGTGTCATACGGGAGGGAGACGGCTTCAGAATCACTGCCGTCACCCGTGAGCTCAGCGGTGGACGTGTGCGGTGTGAGCTGCTGCACAGAGAGCCCAAGATCTGCTTCAGCCTGAGCTTCTCCCAGCAAGGCCACTTCACAGAGTGCCAGGACGACCAGCTCTACACCCTGAGAGAGATAGCGGAGTGGAAAATCTCCAAAGGCAGAAAGAGGACTGTAACCGAGGTCAAAACGCTGCCCAAAAAGGACTTCTTATTCTCAAATTTGCTGGAGAATGTACTTGGAGAGCTGAAGCTGACTCCTGTGTATGAACTGAAGGCTGTTACACGACGTGAGTATGACACTAGTTTCATTCCTGTTCTAGTAGTGTACACAAATATGCTTAATAACAGTGTTATAGCCCAACATG